GAATAGTGCCTGTCAAGTATCGTGCAAGAGATGTTCCTCTTGAACACCTAAAGGAATTGGGAGTTTCATGAACAAGATAATCACGCTCTCTTCAATGGCTACACATCAGATATACATGGGTTAGAAAAAAATGACCAATACAGGAAAGAAACCATGTAATATCACCTTATATACCACTCCGGGCCAGGCATTCTCTGGTAGTGACACTGTGCATGCTCACTAAGGACTCACCTCAAGAAGGATGGTCACTAAAATAAGATCATCTCTTCATATGGAATAAAGAGCCTACACTGAAGTCAGGCCCAAGCAATCAAGGCTCTGGGGATGAAGGAAAGAGATAGCCAAACAGCCAGTAAAGCAGCCGTAAAGCTGCTTGCTTTCTATAGATTTGAAACTCAAAGGCACTGGTACACCCTCAACCCCACACACTCTAAAGTTAAAAAAAATATTTTAAAGAACCGAGAGGAAAAAACCTGGAGTGCCAAGATCACTGCTCAGGGACTTGTGAGAGCTCAGCCTAGCAAGGTTCAGTCTATGCCCTAGCTGAGCTGTGTGCCACATGCCCAGAGCAATGAGAACATGCCGAGAGATGTGCGCTTACCCATGCCGTGTGTGTGCTTATCACCCACAGAAATCCCCCTCAGAACGCTTCAGTGAGTTCCTAACATTCATTCACTACACGTGAAAACCTCCTGTTGTAATCTCAACTCTTCTACTGTGAAAATCTATGCAAGAGTTTATTTCATTCTCCTACTAAAGCCTCATCTTCCTCAGATACTCCACGCACATCCATAACTTAGCAGCTGCAGCATTTGTGGGACCAGCTACCTACTGAACGATCTCCCAGTGCCTAAAGCTTCTGAGAGCTGAACAACTCACTCCCATTTTTAGCAACTGTATTGTGCTTCACCTTTGACAACAGTCTGGAAAAACAGTCATTTTTTTTCTGGTTGATATTATTAGACATAAATCACTAATTTCCCTTTGGAAAAAAAAAAAATAAATAAAATCACACATTTGTATGTTTGTTAGAGTCAAAGAGCTGAAATCTTAACTGGAAATTTATGGTCTTACCCAATATTATCCAATTTGAAAAGCTACTCTCTGAACTTCGTGAGGGACTCAATTTTACAAATAGAAAATACGGGGATTGAAACAATTTGTGCGCGCATACAGATGGAAGTTATTACGAACTCTCGGAATTAACACACATTGTTTTGACTTTGGAATGTAACAGCAAAGCAAGTTTCTCCAAATAAATGCTCTATCAAGCTAGCACTGAACTGCTTCTAATTCCAGCTGAATTCTCCCGAGTGCAAGATGCGGTTTTCATTGTTATTATCCTGCTGTTTTACAAAACAGTACCACTTTATCTCTGGAAGAGTTTTTATTTCAGTAATTTTATTTAGTATCAACCCAGTCTCACTTCTTCCCCACTCACATTTCTCCCTGCCGCTAGAACTCCAGGTAATTGTGAAACAAAAAAATAAAATATCTGTGAAACCGGGGAAGCTTGTACAAATCCTTTCAAACATTTCTTTAAGTTGATAGAAGTTTTTTGGGGCTCTTTGTTTCTCACCCACAGTGATCCAGACTTCCATGAACGATTCGAGTAAGGTGATGGAGACCCAAGCTCTTCTCTTAACACCCCAGCAGAGTCAGCACTGTTCCCCCTAGGCACCTCCAATCTTCCCACAGCACCCCGACGGAATTAAGCAACTAATCTGCAGTTATTCACAAAAGAACAATTTGCAGGACTGGTTCTCTGAATTAAGGCCAACACCTTTGAGCCTATAAAGGATTCCCTCACAGGTTCTAACAGTCTAGAGATAAGTAAGAGGCAGCTGCTCATCCTCCATCCAAAATTATATTTACATGAACTAAGCATATCTGGAAGCTTCTCTTGAAGCAGCCTTAAGACCTTCTAAAAGCTGCTTAAATTCAACAGTTCCAGCCTCCAAAAGAACACAGAAAGGATTCAAACCTCAGGTTTTAAGAACAAGTCAGCCCGAGTACAGAGGTTTTGTGACATATTTCTGTATGTTATCTACCTGTTCTGCTTTCACAATGGAATTTCCCCTTGGCAGAACTATAAAAAGCTACAATATTTGATCAAGGATATCAAAACAAAGGTGACTACAACTTATATGGACTTCAATAACACTTTACTGATTAAACAAGTACTAGAAGCACCCCCACCCCCAATTCCAATTTACTTTTATTTTGTTTTTATTCAATAGCATAAAATCTCAAACATTAACATGTGAACCACTGGTGTTGTACAAACCACTTCAAAGTGTGGCCACCGACTACTCCAGCTTGTACCAGCACCAGTGACCCCATGTACACTTGGAATCTTTTTTATACAAATATGTACTTAAAGTCTTCATTTACTTTTATGAGTTTAAACACATGCCAACGATTTCAGAAACCAACTGCAAGGACTTGGAAGGCAACATGGGCGAGTGACCACATGTTCAACTTCAGAAATACGACGAGAACAAAATCAGAATGAGAGATTTCAGTAGCTCCAATAGTGGTAACAACTCAGAGATGACAAGTCAAAGAGAAAAACAGGGAAACAAGTGAAGTAGTGAGAGTTCCTATAAATAATCCTAAAGGCACAAGTGTCAGCTAACCCAGACCAGAAGAACTAGAAAGACAATCAAACCTGGGCTCAATGAAGAGTTCATAATCTCAATCAAGGAAGCAGCACAGAGTACTTGCATCACATAACTGAACAGCAAAATCCAGAACAGGAATAAAACCACAAAAGGCTGAAAAGCAAAGCAAGCAGCATCACGACTCAGAAATTACAGAATGAACTAATGTATTTACATAAGAAAAGATTAAGGAAAGCACTGATTTGATAGTAATGGAGAGAGAAAGCTATCAAAGCATTTGAAGGAAAGAGTATTTAATCCCTTTCTCTCACTAGTCTTCCATATGAAAGTCAAGTGTGAACAGCTGGCTGCCATTATTAATACCAGCAACAAAGAGTCACAGTCTAAGTTATATTAACAGCCTGCTTAAGTGAATTTCCAAGATTAGCAGGGCTTGATTAACTTCATCTTAAGATATTTTAGCCTTTAAGTAATTTCAAAGCCACTGGAGGTTATCTTCCAAAATACACTAAGCATGGGCAAGATACCAGAAGTCTGGAAAATGGTAAATGTAATCCAAGCTTAAAAAACAAACAACACAAAAAGACCCAGAAGTTTTACTTCAATTTAGGGTAAGGAATGGCGAAAAAGTGGTGGAAGAGAGAACTGGAAAAACAAATCAAACAACTAGAAACTAAGCATTTTTTAAAAAATCAGAATTTTCAAGAATAAAACTGTCAGACCAATCTAATTTCAAGCCTACAAACAGGTTAGAAACTGAAATGTCAGATTTCTGTTGGAATTTAAATAAATCTCTTGGCACTTTACAGTGTAATATGCTCGCAAGCATTCTGGGGAAATGGAATATTGATGAAGTATGAATGAATACAGAGCAAGTAAAAACTCTTTGGGTGTAGTTAAACAATGGTTCACTGCTGGTGAAGTGGGGCTCCACCTGGGTCTAGGCTTTACCCCAGTTCTATTCAATATTTTCATGAGGTGACCTAGATAGAGAATAGACTCAGATGCAGACAGCAGAAAGCTGAGATTAAGTTCTCAATCTAACCTTTCCTCATCTTCCAGAGTTATGTCACCAAATCAGAAATATGATTAAGAAAAAGATGCATCTTTAAGGATACATTCGAGGTACAGCATGTAAAACATGAATTACAAATTCAGAATGGACTGTTTTGTTGCTGTGCAGAAGAAACTTGGGATCGTTGGTTGCACCAAATCACAAAATTCACTGTGTTAGGCTCTTAAGAGTACAAACGTACTGGAACATAATGAACTGAAAAAAACCCAACAAGATCTGTGAAGCATTTCTCCAATTCTCCCCAATGTTTTGAAGGCAAACAGCTGCACACTGTGTCCAGCTTTGGGCATGGCTCTGCACTTAAATATATGGATTTAAACAGAGACAAGGATGCTGAGAAATTAAGAGATGTGGTCCATGAAAACAATTTAAAAAGGAGAGGTTGTCTTCCAATGCATGAAAGTTTGCAAAGAGGTAGAGACTTAAATGAACAGATTATAACAACTGATTACGTGATTAAAGAGAAGCAAAACAGATTTGGATTAGATGTCAGAAAATGCTTTAATGGCCAGGACAGCCAATCACCAGAAAAGACTGATCACAGGCTTTCCTTCAGGGTAAATTATACAAACATCCACCAGGGATGGCATAAATGCAGTTGAGCCTAGGACTAGGCAACAGTCTAAATGTCCTTCTCTGGTCCCTTTCAGACCAGCTTTCTGCTCATTTTCTGAATTCCATACTAAATGGGTTCGCAGCAGGTATTAGTATCCTCTCAAACACAAGTTCATAAACTTGTAAACTTCGATTAGTTTGCCAAGTAAAGGATGATTTTTTAAAATACATTAAGGACAAGGAAGTAAGGATAATTATATATTTTTTTAAAAGTCCTCTAAAGTCATGCACTGGTAAGACTTAACATTTTCCAGCTTGTTGCTTTTTCTTATTGTAAGTATAGAAGTAGAATAGTAGTTAAAGTGATAATACAGCAAAATTAAAGTAGCAATGAGAATGACACAAATAGATCTTCAAGTATGACAAAATAAATTTAAAAAAAAACACAACAGAAGACATTTACAATTTCCAAAACAGTGTGTGCCAAGACTCACAGTATTTATTTGAAAAGGAAAAGATTCATTATTAGCTGGCGAGCCCTCTTCCCAAGGACCACAAGAGAAGGTCTTGAGCACAAATGAGTAAACTGAGGACAAGGATTTGAAGAATCACTCCATGAGTTCAGGTGTTCGTCACAGAGAACAGCATCCTGAGACAGCAGATGCACACCCATGTCATACTGACACTAGGCAGATGGTAGATACTCACTTAAAAAATAAAAAAAACCCCAACCTCTGTATACCAACCTGTGCTATATTTTTGTTGAGAAGATATACTCCATATTCAAACTGAAGCTTCTCCCCTCCTTTTGGATATAAAGGAAATCTGGTGAGAAAGAGAAAAAGAAAAAAGCAAAAAGCGTTTAAGGTACAATTATTCAGATGCTTAACATTAAAAAGCCCCAGATTCCTTTTCTGAGAAGGTAAAGGTTTAAAAAACCTCCCTTGCTGACTTCTCCCAGAAACCCCCTCCACAGGATGGACTTAGGAACCCTCCACAACTGCAATCAACCAGACTTTTAAAAAACTGATGTCAAAATTCAGCTAATGAATTACATTTTCTGAAGTATTTTAGGGTTTTAAAAAAGATGCTTTAGGACTCTCCCAGTGCCGCAGCATTTCTCTCACTAAGTGAAGCATATTTTAAGCAGCATACAGAATAATACCAGATCCCGTATCATCCCTCTGTATTCAGCCATTCGCGTTTGCTTTGCTCGTTTCCAAACAGAAATAACCTTAATAAGAAAGGTGCTTGGATTGTTATTTTGTGATGGAAAGAGCACAAATCTCTCGCACACAGAAGACACTTGTAGGCTCACTTACTACCACACCAGAACAATGCTCAGAGTGCGATTCCCTTCCTTTCAACAAGCTTCACACACACACCCCAAAGGCTCAAAGTCTGTTACAGCATCATCGGTCACTACAGCCCCTGCAAATATATTCCTAACGTTTATCTCCTGTTTAATCAATAAAGCATTTTTCACAATTTTAAATAACTAGATGTAGCTTAGAAGAAAGTAGCACAGCTTATTTCTGTCTTAACTGCTACATGAGATCAGAGAATCAAAACTTTAGTTCCTAAAGCACTGAAACTGTTTGACAGTCTGCGTTAAAGAATGTAATTTTATGCCTACGTTCTAGGAATCTCCTTAAGTGAAGCAATTCTTGAACAGTTTTAATATTTGTAGACTGTATTTCTTAGGGTTGTCTTTTGACTCTTCCTTACCACCAGAGGTTATGAGATCATCACGGTCAATACAGTCATCTTGGTACAATCTAAAATTTATGTTTATGGGAACTACACTATGAAATAAGGTTTTTGTCTTTTCAAGAACTGTACGTTCTGTAGCTCCTAATCAAGATGGTGAGCATATTATCCGCAGAAAAACCCACATTACAGCTGAAACTAAAGTCTCTCAAATATAAGATAACAAACATAGGAGATCAATATCTACTAGAAACAACACACATTCTAGAGGGGTGATTACGCAAAGTGTATTTTATCATCAATCAGCCCCACAGCAGAGTACATTTGCAACTTTTAAGGAGAATTATATAGCGCCATTAAAGCTAAAGGTTAACAGGTCATGATCACAGCAGATCAAATATTAAGATGTCAGCTTCAAGTTTTATGCTACTTTCAAACTCACTAGGTCACTTCAAGTTGAGGAATATAAAAACCACCGTGAGTAGTATATATCTAGCTCACCTTGCTTAATAGATCTATAAATCCAACTAGTTCCCCATGCAAGAAAATAAAACCTTTCAAAATGAACACATGCTACAAAAATTCCACGACGCATTACCCTAAGTGTAAAATACAAATCAGGAAGAATTCATTTCAATATCTACAATTACACTACCCAAACAGAGCAGCATTTAGATTTAAAGGATACCTTTACAATTAACAGTGTAAAACCAACTCAAGCTTGACAATAAAAGCACCATTAGGAACACACGCCATGTTTCACTAGAAGATAATATTTCATTAAGTCACTAGTAATGGGAACCATATATTCTATTATTAGACACAGAGCTCTTCGATACATGCAGTATAGAAAAAGAGTATAAAAAAGTGTTTTACAGCGCTCGCTACCATCTCCCACGTACAGTTTAAGTGGTAAAAATGAAGCTTTTCTGTTTATCAGGTTGGGCCTGCTTCTTTGCTAACGTTCACGTTTCTGTCCTGTAACTTCTTCCATTATTAACCTTGAAAGACTCTAAACTACATACATCCTCGTGTCAGCTTTCATAACGTAATCATTTACACGAAAGTCTTGAAAAATGTCAGTGGATGTCTGTGTACGCACATTTACGACTCAGAGAAAAATATTACCAACTGTTACGTCTCTTCCTTTGTGTGTTATCTTGCTTGCCCATGAAGCCTGGTCACAAGCAATAAACTTAAGGGAGAGGAACCACAACATTTTATATAGTGCTTCACTGAGTATAATTGAACACAACTTTTAAACTGCTGGCTCCCAATGTGAAATTTTTCTTGCCTGCTCCTTAGAAAAGCACAACTGTAAGCTAAATCTCTGGCATGCTGCAAGAAGTTAAGTCTGCTGCGTGAGGTTTTAGTTACACTTGCTCAAAACATACATTTAAAAACTACTATTTTAGTATTTTTATAATCATGAAGCACTCAAATGCAAAACAGCATCCACCTGCCCGTTCTACTCCAACATGTATCTTCCTTGTTTCCATTCTTGCTGATATGTTTGGGGGAAAAAAAATTAAGCTCCTTTAAAACATAACACAGAAACACAGATACTCACTTTAAGATGACAAACTCAAATGAGTGTGACACATGTTTAGTGGAAAGAAGAAAAAAAAAAAAGCTACAGGTGTCTGTTGTATAATCACTAAAACATCATCTGAGAAGTTACCAAGAAGTAGGAAACTTGTTCTGAGTACACTCAGAATCATGGAGGTTGGAAAAGCCCTTGCAGCTCCTCCAGCCCAACCATGACCCTCCCCCTGACCGTTCCCAACTCCCCCAGATCCCTCAGCGCTGGCTCAGCCCGACTCTTCAACCCCTCCAGGGATCCCGGGGACTCCCCCCTGCCCTGGGCAGCCCATTCCAACGCCCAACAGCCCCTTCTGCACAGAAATCCTTCCTCAGAGCCACTCTAAGTTGAGCTCTGGTCCTCCTCAGAGCAGTACTTACACACTGTACAGAAGTCACACACCTACCATCCTAGTAGGCAACAACAGCTTCTGCTCAGTGAGGTTCTAAGCGTGCCCTTGTAAAAAAACGTTGATGTTTATCTTATGACCACAGAATATTACTTTTCAAGAGTGTGTAGACATTTTAAAACACAGCCCTAATACACCCTGGGGTTTACAGTAGATATTCTGTCTATAAAGAGCATACAGCAGCAAGAATTAAGTGTGACTCATGAAGATGACCTTAGGTCAGAGAAGATTCACTTGATGCAAGGAAAAACCACAACCTGTTAGAAGTTACTAAATGTTTTGGAGGTCTTTGTGCACCTCGTGTTGCCGCTGTACTCGAGGCTATTCTTGCTTGGTTTGAGACATCTGACACGTCAGCAGTGACGAGAGCCTGTGCTGGGGAAGAGCACAAGGACTAGTAGTGATGAATAACAAGCCAGCAGACTGGTGGAAAGGCAGCTTTAGGATCTGTGACAACTGTGCCAAAGATGCTGAAACTAAACAAGTCCCACTCTGAGTTCAGAAGGTGGAGAACACTGTATAAGTGATCCAAACTGTACACCAGACTGATTTTAACCAGATGGTCAATATGTGCCTTTAAGATCTTAGATAACAAAGAGGATTCTCGATCTTAAAAGCTTACGTTTGCTTTGGAAGTTTTATGTTTTGCTTATTTCATCCTGAAGAACTGTGACAAATGTAAAGTTTTTATTAATTCGAGTCATGTACCCTGTTTTATAGGACTCCCTGGGATACAAGTCAGATGACCAGCATTACCCAGCTGTACCACACCACAGGAACAGAGGCACATCCATAATAAACCACAAAACATACACACGCATAACATTTTTAGACATGTATCTCACCTCCTGTTTCAGGGTGTGTTACTTTAGACAAAAGCTGTATTCTTCCACTTGTGATACCACAATGACAGAGTATTTTTTTCCACAGTGAACCAGAACAATATCATGCTTACATCCTCAAAACACACACAAGGTTTATACTAATACATTCAAGATCCAAGTCTTCCCAGTCTCACAAGAAAAGTTTTTTTGACAGCTGTTTCTCAGTTTAAAAAAAAAATATATTAAAAAGTCACAGAAGCAGTTACAAGGTACTTCCAATTATCTCTGCATAATTTAATTTCAGCAGATATTAGAATAGAGAATAGGGATGGCAACTCATCTGCCCCCGCCATACCTCTTTCCCATCTCTCCTGCTTGGAGGGTTCCCAAGAATAAGCATCTCCTCTCTACCTGCAATCTTAATTCCAAGTCTACATCAACTGCTTTATTTCAGCCTATCCCCTATTAATTACTGCCACACTTCCTAAGCAGACGTCAGCTGCTGGATAAAGAACTCTTCAGCTTAAACCTCAGCCAAGGAAAAAAAAAAATGGCATGGAAGTCGGAAGGGAGCACATTATTAACAGCTAGTCATGAAACGCTCCTCTTCCATCAAAGGCACTTAATATTCAAATCGGATACTATTCTTAGCACTGAAATCCTGTGTTTAACACAACTGGATGCCACGAGCAGTTCTAGGAACAAAGAAGGGGTTTCTGAAGTACGCAAGGCAACCGGCTTTCAGTCTATTTACACATAGGTAGGTTTTGCTGATAGGCAATGAGTAAGCAAACAAGTATGAGCAGGTCAAGGCTTAGAGTACTGCTGATCTACGTAACTAAATATATCTACTTGTAAGAAACTCAAATGAGACCGACAAATCAAAGCGTGCACTCAAGTATCAGAATACAAACTAGTGCAAGCCTGAAAGGAAGACTCTCTAATTTCCTTGTAAACTGCCCAGGCAAACGGGGGTGAAAAGGAAGAAATCCCAGCTAAAAGGAGTGGCTAAGTCAAGTGTCAACATTGGTATTATTTTACACTATAGACTCCATGTGAAAGTTTCTAGGGTACTAAGCCTCATTAAACCCTCCCAAAAGAGCTGTGAAAAGGAAAAAGCAAGGCAAAGGTTACATGCTTTGTTGAGTTACTCTGATGGGGAAAAGTAACCTCAAGTCAGCCTTTTAAATAAAAAACAAGGCTGAAAGTCTACCTATTCTCCAAGTTTAAACTATCACCCTACCATCAACAATGGAATTAGATTTTGAGTTCTTCAAGGATCTCACAACACTTCACAAAT